GCAATGGATATGGAAATCGTCTCGATCAACTCTCTTCCCCCTCATACGTATTCGTCGATCGAGATCATTCAGTGTACGTATCTGAATGGGACAATCATCGTGTGATGAAATGGATGGAAGGTGCAAAACAAGGCATTGTCGTGGCTGGTGGTCAAGGAAAAGGAAATGATCTTACACAATTGTCATCTCCTCAAGGAGTCGTTGTCGATCAATTGGGCACTGTCTATGTGGCTGATCGAGGGAATGATCGAATCATGCGTTGGCCTAAAGGAGCCACACAAGGAAGTGTCATTGTTGGTGGAAACGGTAAAGGAGAACAATCGAATCAACTCAATTGGCCCATCGGTTTGTCATTCGTTCGACATGGGAATCTCTATGTCGTCGATTGGGAAAATCGTCGAGTACAAAAATTCACTATTGATTTCAATGCACAAGAGGAGTTTAGAATTGGTCTTGATGCAACTTGATTTGTTTCTAGAGCAATTATTTGTGTAATGAAATTCCTTTCGATGAAAGAACAAATTATCTGGTTTCCTTGTCTGTTTTCATCATATGAGATCTCGAACAAGATGAAGTTTTTGCATTCAAAGTCATTGACACAGTGTTGATGGTGATTCTCTTCATAGGTTCGATCAGTGTATTTCAAATTTTCGAAGATCTCATCAACCATCATATTCTGTTCCCAGTGCGATGCGCAACAGAAAAACAAATGGTTGTGAACACTTGTGAACATTTAATTTTCGGTATGCTTCAAAGCCAACAGAATTGATCGCTCGAAAAACGATGTGAAATTTTCAATACTCGGTCTTTTACTGCCGTACATTGTTTGAATTATATGCTTATGTAACGGATGAAGGTGATAGAGTTTTCAAAAAATAGAATTCTTGGTTTATGATAATATTAATTTTTTCTTTTCTATCTTCCGCACTTCTGTTTTCGATCTCATTATTTTTCAAGTTAAAAGAAACAGCGGCATTCGAAAAGAACTTGTTCTTTTTAACTATTTCATAGATTATTAATCTACTAGCACGATACTGACTAAGTGTTCAGGTTCGATCTCATGGAAACAATATAGAAAGTACAAACATTGGTAATGGGTTAATTCTAATATGCAAATGACGTTGAGACGACTAAATTTGAATTTAGATCTTCTCTTTCGAAAGATATTTTCAATTGTTCACTCAACTATCACGTCGTATGAGTGAAGTTCGAATGAGTGGTTTTGTTTTGACGACGAGTAAAACTTGAATATTTTTCGTATCGTTGAATGACGAGAGAATTCCATTAAGAATATTCATGCTCAAATGATTTCTCTACCTTTCATTTATCGTTCTAGAAAAAGATTATTTTTGGTTTCAAATTTTTGATTCAACGAAAGCAATCAAAATTGTGCAAACCTTCAAATTCGGTTAAATCGATAGTGAATTGATAAACAACACGTTCTATTGTCAATATGAACATTTATAATCACCATGAAAGTCTACAGAATGATTCGACTCACTCTCTGAAAGATGTGCAATTAACAACAACTGTATGATATGGAGAACAATAGCTAACAGTTCGGAAATCAAAATGTACATTTGAAAGAGACATCTTCGAAAGTGTTCATCA